TAATAATAATAATAATAATAATAATAATAATAATAATAATAATAATACTGAGGCACATTCCTATAATGTAGCAGTACAGGACGTTCTCAACCTACGACCACAATGCAGCCCCAAATTTTTGTCACTAAGTGAGACTTTGGTTATGTGAGTTTGGGCCTCATTTTAGGGCCTTTCTTGCCACCATTGTTAAGTAAATCACTGCCGTTGTTAAGTCAGTAAACCAGTTGTGAAGTGTAAACGGGGCTTCCCCATGGCCTCGGCTGGTCCGAAGGTCACAACAGCGGATCTCGCGACCTCCCGGGGACACATCGCAACCGTCGTAAGTGCGAGTCAGTGACCAAACGCCTCTGATTTTGGACCAGGTGACCCGGGGGATGCTTCCAAGGGGTCCTAAGTACCTTTTTATGGACATGACTGGGAAAAAACGGGTTAGGGTTCAGGGTTAAGGTCCTAACTAAGTCCCTTTTTTCCACCACTGCTGTGAACGTCGGACGGTTACTAAACGAAGCACAGCGTCGCAATTTCGAGGGCTACCTGCACAGATCGGCGTTGGCGCTTCTCAGGATCCGGATTCATGCAAGAGGAGAGGCCTCCCTACCACCCCAGCCTAGAGACCACCCCCCTCCCCGCAGCTAAAAGATTGGGGCGCCCTCCTCCTCCACCGGTCCGGTCGGAGCACGTGCAAACCAACGCGTACCAGCCAAGAAACAACGTCGGTTTTCTCCACCTGGGAGGAAATAGAAAGGTGCAGAGAGGGATGTCCCTGGCTTTGCAAAAACGGGTGCAATTATTGCAATGCACCGTTAATGCGCCATTGCAACGACAATGGTGCAATTGCAACGGCAGTTGTGCAATTGCAACGGCAATGGTGCAATTGCACGCGCGGGAGAAAAGTGGTGTGTGTGTTTACTTTTGCAGGCAGTTTCCCTCCCTCCCCCCAATTGCTTGCTCTCTTTCTCTCTGCTCCTTGCTTCCCTCCTCAATTACAACCCCCCTCCCTTGCAGCTGCTTGCCTTTGGGGTGGGTTAGTAGTCGCAGCTGGGACTTGCAAATCGATTTTCCTCTCCTGGGAAAACTCTTTTTTTAAAAAACCCTCTTAGGAAGGTTTGGAGGTGGAAAAGAAAGCTCGGATTTGCCAACCTGGGATTAAAATAAAAGATACCATCACTCTGACCTTTTTGTAAGTCTATAAAGGAGCGGGAACTGGAGAAAGCAGCCGGCGCGGACAGAGCCGGGGGAACGCGTTTCATTGGCTTAGCCGCAAAGTGGGTGGGGAGGAGGAAGCTACTACAGCTCCCGGCAGCCTCAGCGGGGCGGGGCCAGTAGTAAAGGTTTATGGGAGTCGTAGTTTAACGCAAAATTGTGTTGCTGCGGCTAGGGGACTTCAGTGGGTGGGTGGATGGTACAGATAGTCCTCCCCCTTTTTAAAAAAATAAATAAACAGTCTTTTATAACTTTAAAAAACAAACAAAACAAAGAGTACAAATATCTTAACTTCAATAGTTTGTGGCATTCGTCTTATACTATTATTTTGTGGATTATTTACAAATATGTACAATTTATGGCAATGTAAACATTAGTTTATATGTTGCTTATCATTAATTTTTTTATCATCCATTTATCTATCTTTGCTTAATCCAGTCATACCATTTTCCCCAAGTCTTATAATACTCGGTCTCCTCTCTCTCTTGTAACATCAGAGTTAATTTATCCATCTCAGCACAAGTCATTATTTTTTGAATGACCAATTCATCTGGTGGTATGCATATATGTTTCCAGCACTGTGCGTAAGCAATTCTGGCTGCAGTTAGAATATGTAATACTATATATTTTATATTTCTCTTGTATTTCTTTTTGAATATCCCCAATACATTTTCGCTAACCTTGAAGGAGGCAGATACCATCTATAAAACATCTGTACAATGATGCATTTGGTGACTGTTCCAAGTTACAACGGCACTGAAAAAAAAGGAACCGGTGACCATTTTCTACGCTTAGGAGGACCCTCTGATTCATGGGATCAAAACTCAGATGCTAGGCTGTAGAGTTGTAATTACAGGAATGTTCCAATCTCGGATGGCAAACCTCAGATAAAGAATGTTTCCAAGCAAATACAACTCAGGCAAACAAAATCACTAATCTATGGATAAAGGAGGATTAGAGAGGGGAAGTAAACATATGTTAGACTTTAACTAGAGATAATTAATTGTATGGATTACTGTACTAAACAGTAACGAAAGTTAAGCAGTAACCAAAGTTAACCAATGATGAAGGATAACTAAAAATGTATATAAGTGCAAGACTATACTCCAATAAAGATAATCATAATTCAATTGTTCATGATCAAACAACTCGACTGCCTCGTCATTACAACATTAGGCAACTGATTCGTACTTATGACAAGGTCCCGTCATCGAACGTAGTCACTGAACCGGTAGTAACATTGGTTGAATCCCACCCCTGCTTAACAACCATGTTACTAATGTAACAACTGCAGGGACTCACTGAACAACAGTGGCCAGATGTTCTATAGATGGCACTTTGCACCGGCAAAATTAGCAAAGGTGTTCAAAGATAAATCAGCCAAAATGCTGGAAGTGCCATCAAACATCGGGAACATATTTCCATATGTGGTGGCCTTGGACAGAAGCTAAAAGATAGTGGACAAAAATACACACATAGTAGGTTGGGGGAAAAAATGATCAAGCAACACATAGATTTGAAACCTGAAATATTTTTTTATTAGGAATGGTACCTGAAGGTTATAGTAAAGGAAAAAAAAACATATTTAACTATACATGTGTTAACAGCAGCTAGAATTGTATTTGCTCAGAACTGGAAAAGCGATAAGATACCGATAGAGGGCAAAGTAATTGACAAAATATTTGAATGTGCAGAAATTCTCAAAGATCCATCTCATCCTAGGCACCCCTTTTTTTGAACTATTACCATCTCGCAGATGGTACAAGACAGTAATAAAAACAAGGACAAATAGGCTGAGAAACAGCTTCTATCCCAGAGCAGTAACTCTATTGGATTCTACTGTAGAGTGCAATATTAATGCAATATCAGGGGTTTTCAGTTCAATGTACAGAAGGTGAAGGACGCATGTTTGTGTTTATTTTCATTGAGAATATTTAAAAGAAAATAGAATAAGTAATAATACGATATGAAATTGTGTACGAAAGGTAAATATGTAACTATGGTCA